ACCTCGCTGCGACTAGTCTGTGTGATAATCTTAAATCTAAAGAGCCATCTCAGCTCCTCCTGTATGTCATAATTACACAAAATCGGAATTGTATGTACTTGTCAGCACTCTTTCAAAAGCATGTTCTTTTTCCTGGCTTTTAAATTTATTTTGTGCATTTTAGATTTCACCAAAAAGCCTAAAACAAGAGTTTTCCTGCTCCCACTGAATGAAAACATCTTATACATCTGGTTTGGTCTGTAATTATGATTTCTAATCTCTGCTTTTGAAGTTCGCATCATCTTATTTATTTTGAATTTCATTGCCGTCATCGCTTTTTCTGCAGGCCCCTTTGCTAACGTTGTCACTGTGACTTGAAATGGAACACACAAATATAAATTAAACTTGGTTTTCCTTATCTGATCTGATAAAAATGTGTCAAAATTGCTAAACGCTAATGCTGCTAATCTGTTTGTTTATCTGACTCTGGGGGAAAAATTGTGTCACAATTTGTTTTTGACCTTTTAGACCTGAAAAAGTTTGTGACTTCAGTTTTAAGGCTTTACTCAGAACAACTTGTCGAACATTTTGAAACAGTTTTGAAACGTTGCCGTGATATTTAACCTTTAGCACCCACTTATACCACATTAAAGGAAATGGTGACAGAGTAATGAAAGAGCATTGCGCTGAAATATGAAGAAATTGTGAAAAAGGGAATAATGTCATATTGTCGGGCTGGACGCAGGACTTTCTGCACAAAGACGCACAGCAAGACACAGCTGGCCATTCACTCCCTCTCTGTACGCAAAGGAACAGATGTTGTGCAACTTCCTGTTTAGCAGTGAAACTATATCCTCCACCCCCTTCTTTACTCGCCCACTTTCTCCAGCCCTCCATGAGTGATCCCTGGCAGGCAGAAATGGATTGGGGCCTTCCCCTCTCTCCCACAGAGCTGAATGGATAGAAGAAATATACTTCACACTCCAGGCTGTTACAAAATGCACTACATAGATTGAAATTCAACTATGTGGCAGTGTTCCCAACTTTCCCGAGTGCATTTTCATCCAATCAACACTCTTATGTAATAGACGTCCACTGTACAACATGTGCTGTGTCTGATTTCGTGCAATGACCCCTCTTTTATGTGCATGACAAATTCCCATTGGGGGTTCATAAAGATCCATTCTATTCTAGTACAGAGTGGGAGATATGGCAACAGGGTACTCCAGCAGCCAATAGTTTGGCAACATGATCTGAAGACCAACAAGACTAGATGTAAAAGATAATATGAGGATGAAAATATGGAGAGAAATGAAAAGTAAAGTAGGTAGATCGGTGGATAGAGAAGTTGTAACTAGAAAGACCTGAACAGAATTTCTACGCTGCAGTTCTATTTGTGACCTGAATGTTCAGATTTCCTGCTTGTCTGGAGACAGGGTCCGTTTAAACTCTGAAAAACAACATACATGTTTGACACAACACTAGAGCA